CAGATACTGCTGCTGTATACACGTGTGTGTGTGTGTGCTTCCCACAGATACTGCTGCTGTATACACGTGTGTGTGTGCACGTGTGCACTGGGGATGTCCGGGGCCCCTGGTAACTCTGTGGCTTCAGAGTTAAAGATCAGGCTGCAGCTTTAAAGACACAAACATCTGTTAAAGAAACTCATGAAGGAGACGATGCAGACATCTAATTTTTCACAAATATTTCCACGAAAGTGAGAATTCCTGTGCCCAGCCTATCAGAACTAAGACCCAGCCCACTGAGTCTCTGTATGCTAAACAGACCCTGGAGTGCAATGTCTGTATAAAGAAGAATAAGGGACATTTTCCAAATTTCCATTTCGAGTCTTCAGATCTTAATTATCTCCCAGGCCCAAAGCAGCCATTCCTGGCCTGTCGAAGACTCAGACTTGGAGGATGTCATGTCATTGGAGGAGGAGAGTCAGTCTTCATGACTGAACCTGGCCAGACACTCAGCTCTTATCCACAACAGCTTTCGAAAAGCCATTGCTGTCACCAGAGATATTTCTCTCCGAATAATCTGAAAGAATGAATCTTTAGTTGCGCATTAACATTTGCGGAAAGAAATCATGTTTAAGTGTCTACCACGCAGAGACTGTCAGCTTCTTTTCTTTTTTCGTATGCAGTTTGGCTGGGTGTGCCTGTGCGTGTGTGCTTATCGGGAGCTGGTGACTGTCTGCGGAAGAGCGCTCATGTTCTCTGGCTGCTGTGATCTTGCGTTCCCCAGAAACCATGACCTGGTCTCAGCCGGACACCCGCGGGCCTGCCCCGGCCCCCAGGAGCCTCCACTCCGCCAACGTCATAGGAAACAGGTGAGCCTCGCTCGCAGAGGACCTGTCTCCTGCTCTCCGAATCGGCAATGGGCTGAGACGCGCGTGTGGCCAGAGCCCCGAGCCCTCTCTCGGCCGCGGGTGCTCGTGAGAGAGTGTCAGCGAGCCGACAGAGGCAGCTGTGTGCGTCTTTCTCTTCCGTAATTACCCAGAGGTGTGGAGCTGCCGCTGAGAGTGCCAAGTGACGTAAAAAGCTGCTCTGAGTCTTCAGGGAAGCCAGCACTATGCACATTGGTCAAAGCTACAAATTGTGTTACCTAATTAATAGCAGCTCAGGTTTCGTTTTGGCCGAGAGCTTCAGCAGTGAACCCATCTTTGTAAATTGTTGTGCTGGTGTACTGTAGCTCTTACTGAGCCGTTACTACAAGCAGCTTTTAAGGCGACATTAAAGCACGCGTGATGCAGCTCGGCCTGATGCACCGTCGGTTGTGTTTGCCCTTGGCAATCCCAGCCAGGCCTTGCTCCCCAGAGCTGATGCGTCTTAACTCCCCTGCTTGCAGAATGTTTGTGTTCGGGGGCTGGATCCCGGTTCTGAGGAGCGAAGACAAGCCGAGCTCGCTGGGCGCCGAGTGGACGTGCACCAACTCCATGTCCGCCCTGAACCTCGGTCAGTATGTCACGGAGGGGGTCGTTTGCTAGACTTTAAACGAAGAGGTATTTTCCCCGTTTTCAATGAACTTTTTTGTCTTGTGAATTTTTAAAGCAGTGGTGCCTTGGCGCAGAATATAGCGTCTCGAACCCTGGGTCTGATAGCGGTGTTCCTGAGTGACCTGTGTAAGCGCGCTCGCGAGCGGGCCCAGGGGAGCGCTCTCCCAGCGATGCCCGGTACCTAGCCCAGACCCCTCTGATGTGAGCCGGCACTCTCCCCGCAGACTCCATGACCTGGAGCTGCCTGTTGTCCAACGAAGACGGCCAGGAGGAGGGGAAAGGAGCTGGCAGCGGCCCCAGGCCCAGGGCAGGGCACTGCGCCGCCACCATCGGCTCGCGCCTCTACATCTGGAGCGGCCGGGACGGCTACCGGAAGGCCTGGAACTCCCAGGTGTGCTGCAAGGACCTGTGGTACCTGGAGACGGGTGAGCCATGCCGGCCAGCTGGGGGGTCTCGAGGGTCTGGAGCCGTTCAGCATAATGTCGCAGCAGAGAGGTGACCGGCCAGCCCATCTGCTCCTCGTGGTTGCATGTAGCGGGTAGACCTCAGGATTGAACTGTGTCCCCAAAGGGAGAACTTACACTGTCACACATTGAATACATCACAAAACCTTACATTCATAATTCTTTACAACAGAGTCACAACGTAGTTAGTTACAAACACAGTCAGTACTGATCCAGTTGCGTTTACCCTTGCTGTTGAATTGTATTAATTGCTGGGAACAAGTTAATATGTGTGTCTGTGAGATCTACACAGGGAAGAAGTTGGTATGCAGTATTAAGAATATGGAAAGGATCTCATACAATTGTTTCTTCCGCCTGTCTAATCATGTATTGTTAAGAAATTGTCTGCGAGGAGGAGTGCTGATTCAATATTTTCCTGATGGGCCGTCTTTAACAACACAGCTGCGGGATTTGTCACACGCACACACATGTTGTTAACGCTCAGAGCATTGCTTTGCACCGTGCAAACGTGTGTACAGTTCTCACTCAAGATAGATGGAGAGTCCGTCTTTGTGCAGGAGCTCTCGAGACAGTCCTGGATCATCCGCTGCTGCCAGCCCAGCGAGCAGGAGGGGGAAACGCCTGCCTCTTGCTTTGGTTCAGGGGTGTCGTCGCTGGCTGATGTTGACGTTCAGCAGTGCGGGAGCAGGGAGGGGGTGATGCATCGCGTGTGATTTCTTTCGCAAACGGCCCGCTGTCCCGTCTGCCTGCAGAGAAGCCCTCCACCCCGTCGGCGGTGCTGCTGGTGAAGGCCACCATCAACACGCTGCACGTGGCCTGGCGGCCCCTCCCTGCGGCAGAGGCCTACCTGCTCCAGCTGCAGCCTCTTTGCGCGGGACCGGCCCCCTCCCCCGGCCCAAAGCAGCAGCAGCCTTCGTCCGAGGCGCCCCCTTCAGGTGAGTGCGCGAGCGTCCGTGTGCTCACAGACTGGAGGCGGCTGGCTACAGCTGGGCGTCGGTCTCGTTCCAGGCTCCCACAGTGCTTTGCATGCGGACGGCTTTCCCGCCCTCAGTTTTAAATGCACCGCCCTGGAGTCACTTCTTTAGAGAAGCAGAGCGGTTCGATACTTCTCGAGCGCTCGCACTTTTATCTGAAACATAAGGTAAAACGAAACGCAAACCGCCTTTGACTTTGGTCTGAAATCATTGACTGCCAGACAGAAAATCCCCTGTGGGTCTGGGGAATAAACGTGTCCGCGTGTCATCCGGGACCAGCTGGGTCTCGAGCAGCAGGAGCTCGGGGGGTTTCGTTCTCGGCGGCGCGGCACAGGGGGTGTGTGACTGGCTGCAGGTCTGACGTTGGGGTTTCTGCTCGGGTTGTGCAGGACCGCCGGCCGCCCCGGACTCAGGCAGCGGCCGGGCCCCCGGCGAGAGGCCCCTGGGAGACGCGAGTCCTCGCGCGCGCCTGGTGAGTCTCATGCCCCCATGGGGCGGCGGGTTTTGACACGGGAGCTGGCTCTGGTCCAGGAGGGGCTGCAGGCCAGCTCCTGGAATCGCTGCCATGGAACCAGTAAAGGGTTCCCTCAGGTGCTGGAGAACCCAGCTCTGAGGCTGGAGCCCGCAGCAGGCCTGGTCAGCCGCGTGTTCCTGCAGTGTCCTGGTCGAAGACGTGAGCCTTTCACGTCTTCCTGCTCTGCTGGGGGGATTTGTGGAGTCTTCAGTCTTACTCAGGGGGCAGTGGGCTGTCCTTTCAGTCTTTCTTCGGTGTGTTTAATTCAAGAGCCTAACAGAGGTGACCGACGAGGGGGCATTCAGCCTCGGTGATGAGTAGCGCGTTGCTATGTCTGTAGGGCCGGGTAGCTTATTCCAGATCCGCCCAGCCCTCGTCGGGGGTCTTCGTCGTCCTCTGCTGAGTAGCCAAGCTGTGGCAGAGCCCCGCCGGAGTGACGCCGCTCTCTGTGAATTCCAGGAGGCCGCCCCTCCGGAGGGAGCCCACCTGGCGCACCGGACGGACGACAACAGGCCCGCTGGCACCCGGCTGCCCGCCGCCATCTGTAAGCGGTCGCTCCGTTGTTCCAGGGCGCCGTGCTCGTGAGTTCACGCGTCCGTGCCCGGCGAGCTGCTGGCTGCCCCACGGCCCGCGGGGAGACGCTGGGGAGACCGGGGGAGGCATCCTCGGCGGGAGTCGGAGCTCGTTAGGGGCTGGTCCTGCGGCGCCGTGCCGAGTCTGAGGTCCGGTGAGGGGTGGGCGGTAGAAGGGCGGTGTGTGTGTGTGTGCGCCGCGCGGTTAGACAGCTCGCTGTGACGGCCGTCGGCGAGGGCAGGGTGCCGGGGTGTTCTCCGGGAGCAGAGCGCGGGTCCTGGGTGGGACACTGCCGCTGTCCCGCTGGGAGTGCATCGTCACTCCGCCCGGCTAGCGGGGCCGCTTCGAATAAAAGCGTCATCAAAATGAAGTAGTAACAACCGTGCGAGACTGCGGATGACGGGTGACTTTCTTGTGTTGCTGCTGGTTAATGACAAACATTCTTGCAGTTCTTCCAGAGCGAGAGTCTTCCCCAGCCCCAGCGTCCCCCTTGCCTACTGCCAACGGCGCCGCAGACATGGTGAGCTGAGCTGCTGTTTGCCTGCCTGCTGCCGGCGGTGCTGTTTTCTGTGCTCTTCCTCTCTGAGCCGCTGGATTTTTACAGCGGTCCTGATCTCTCTCGCCGCAGGAGCCCGCAGAAGAAAGGGCAGACCCTCCCCAGTGGTACGATGTGGGAATTTTCAAAACGCTCTTCTCAGAGGTGACGCACTACTACCTGCCGCCACCAGGGGGCGCCCAGGGGCCAGTAAGTGGCATTTCCTTAGTACAGCCACATTGGTTTGTGCTGGAAGACAGTGGTTTTAAAAAAAGCTGTTAATAATCCAGCACTGTATCCACCACTGACGACGGGTTCAGAGTGGAATTGTCCTAGATGACCAGTGGGCATGTGTTTTACTGTTTAATTGTACCCATCCTGAGTGCAGTTTGAAAATCCCTAATCCTCTGGTAATATCTGTAGGCACGTGCGGTTCACTGCTCCACCAGCTAAGGTCTTTACTCTGTCCTGTCCGTCCTCCCAGCTCTGAACTCGGTATTCAGAGCCTGACCTGGCAGGACTGAGGAGGGAGTAGTCAGTCTGGGTTGTTCATAATGGATAGAGATATGTGTGCTTAGTTGTTGCTAATGCGAAGTATATTTTGGATTTGGAACTTCAAACTTTGTTCAGCTATAGAATTAAATGTTCAGGTGGGTAGCTGCGTCAGCATGCGTAGGCTGCAAAGGAACAAGTAATAGGTTTATTCCATGCTGAAAAAAAGAAGAAAGAGAACACAACGTTTCGGCAGAAGGCTCCACGGCCGAAACGTTGTGTTCTCTTTCTTCTTTTTTTCAGCATGGAATAAACCTATTACTTGTTTCTATAGAATTTAATGTATGGTATATTGATGTATTGTCGGAAAAAGTATTTTTTTAAAGCATTCAAAGAGCAAGTATTGATTAGATATGTCTGTATGATATCTCTACTCAATACCGGGTATTGATTAGCTAATGTAATGGATCCAGGTTAAACCAGCTGATGTGCAGGACTATGGGGACCGGAAGCAGCAGCCGCTGACCCCCGGCGCCACCTACAGGTTCAGAGTGGCAGGGATCAACAGCTGTGGCCAGGGGGGGTACAGTCCTGTCAGCGAATACAAGACCTGCCAGCCGGGCTTCCCTGGGGCCCCCTCCTCCGTCAAGATCACAAAGGTGCGTCTCCGAGCAGCAGTGGGGCACTTGTTCCACACCCCCGCCGCTCGCTGCGCAGAGCAGCGCCGCCTGTTTCCGTGCTGTAGGCTCCCGGAGCTCCTTGCTCTGGGTCTTGGCATCATTGTTGATTTTGCTGTTGTCTCCTGGATCGATTCTTTTTAACTTTAAGGGTGAAGTTCATTGTTTTCAGATGTACCTAGTTATAATAATACAGGGCTTTGAGAATGTGTGGTCGTGCCCATTCCTGGAGCATTCGTTTCCCAGCCTGTGGTTTTAGTGTCGGTCGGGGGTTGAGACCCGAAGGTGCTCTGGGGGTGTCACACCACTCCGTGCCTTGCTGCCCCCCCCCAGGCTGCAGATTCCGTTCACATCACCTGGGAGCCGCCCAGCTCTCCGTCCGGCCGGATCCTGGAGTACTCCATGTACCTGGCGGTGCGGAAGTCCCGCGCCAGCAGCCCCGGCCCGCTGGCCTTCATCAGGATCTACCGCGGCACCAAGACCTTCTGCACCGTGTCCTCCTCGCACCTGGGCAACGCGCACATCGACTGCACCTCCCGGCCCGCCGTGGTCTTCCGCATCGCCGCCAAGAACGAGCAGGGCTACGGCCCGGCCACGCAGATCCGCTGGCTGCAAGGTAGGGCTCGCGCTCTGCACGGGTCGGTCTCGGGGCTCAGTCGATACCCGTGGTCACCCCCCGAAGGGGTGCTGCTGCCACTGCTCCTTGGGGACGGGCTCGCCCCCTCACAGGAGCGCAGGGGGGTCGGGACGGGCGCGGCTACACCTTTTTACACACACGGATCAAATTCCACAGCGTCGCCTTGGCCCCTCTGATCAGAACTACTGAAACGGCTGCTGGCAGCAGGGACTGTCAGACACATGGAGAACCAGGTCACTTCCTCACTTTGACCGCCTCTCAAGAAATATGTTTCTATATTTGCAGATACATATAAACAGAAAGTGCCACAACCTGAGACCTGTGAGAAACATGGACTGATGATGCCAGACAGGTTAGTCTGATTCTTGTGTTTCAGCAGGTTAATGTTGGATGAGCAAACCAGGCCCAAGCTATAAACTGGTGGACCATGGGAGAACAGCTGCTGTAGCCGGTGTATTGAACTGTGCTGCTGTGCTCTGTTGTACTGGAGCAGGTGTTCAAACAGCAGATTCATTTGTTCTCACTTAAAACCACTCTGCTCATTGAGGAGCAATACTACAGGCACATGCATTGAAGGTGATTATCTGAAAGTGCAGTTATATATTCTTTATAAGTGCTAAACTTTGCCATCTTGTTTAAAAAGTGTTTATCCATT